GAATAGGATAGAATTCTATTCTATTTATTTGAACAGCAAGTATACCCATTCCATTTAATATGGGTAATAAGTATAGATGAGTATTTATTAATGAATGTAAATTTTTAATACTTATTAAATACTGTTATTTAGTAAATACAAAATTTCATTTAGTTAAACTTCATGATATTGGTAAAATGTAAAAAATGAACCAGATGATGTAATTAAGTTGTTCAATACTATAAAAAGAAAGCAAAAAGATATTACTTAATAAAATATTTTAACTATAAGAATCATAATGTAGACTTTAATTATAAAATTTATTATGCAATTTATATTATATGAATAATTTATAAAATATATTGTTAATAAATATGTTTTGGTTCTTTTATTGGACTGGTTGAGTTACTAGGTTATTATAAGTGGAATGCTTGAATATTCTATTAGGACCCCAGAAAATGCTTATATATGTAAGGTACCAAGGTATTTAGCCAACATAGAAAAATTTTATAATGTAAGAATTTTATAATGCTTAATTTTGAGAAAATTTTATACTATGTAAGATAATTAATTTGCATATTTTTGGTATTATTTTAAAATATTAGGAGTTTTTAGTTGCTTAATTTTCATATTTATAGAACTCTTTAAAATTTTATTTTCACTACTGGTGATTTTACTTTGTACTACATTTACTACATTTCACAATTTTATTATAACAAAATATTTTTTTTTAACGAAATTTCAGTTCTTTTTCAATGTTTTATTAATTATCTTTTAATAGTGTCTTTTATTAATTTTTATTAAACTCAGTGTATCATTTTTAATATAAAATTACTATATTATACATGTTTATTTTATTAAATAAAATTACTGTAAATATGTTTTACTTTAAAATATAATTTTACTATTCATTACTTTGGTTATATGAAATTACCTTCTATGCTTGATTAAGGTTGTTTAGCAAGTTAAATCTACTTGTATTTTAATTTTTATGAGGTTAAGTATGATATTTATATAGAAAAGCATATTTTTTATAATGGTAATAACTTTAAAATTTTTTACTTTTTCGTTTATAACTTCAGAGCGTAATCACACCACTTTAGTCAAATGAAATCGACTTTCTAAATTAATTAAAAGTTGTTCAGCAAGGTCGAAACTACTTATATATTAATTTTTATGAGTGTAGATATAATGCTTATGGAGAAAAGTGCATTTTTCATAATGATATTAACTTTCAAATTTTTCATTTCTCCGTTTATAACTTCAGAGCGTAATTACACCACTTTAGTCAAATGAAATCGAATTTCTAAATTAATTGAAAGTTGATCGGGAAGGTCGAAACTACTTATATATTAATTTTCACAAGTGTAGGTATAATGCTTATAGAGAAATGCATTTTTCATAATGATATTAACTTTTAAATTTTTTATTTCTCTGTTTATAACTTCAGAGCGTAATTACACCACTTTAATCAAATGAAATCAACTTTCTAAATTAATTGAAAGTTGATCAGGAAGGTCGAAACTACTTATATATTAATTTTCACGAGTGTAGGTATAATATATATGGAGAAAAGTGCATTTTTCATAACGGTACTAACTTTCAGATTTTTCTTTTCTCCGATTACAACTTCAGAGCGTAATCACACCATTTTAGTCAAATGAAATCGACTTTCTAAATTAATTGAAAATTGTTCAGCAAGGTCGAAACTAGTGCCTCGACCCGTATCCGGATCAATCCGGATTGATCCGGATTTTTTTTTTTTTTCGGATATCCGGATTTTTACGGTTTTCATCCGGATTATAAACCGGATGAAAAATATCCGGTTTGACCCGGAATCCGGATGAAATTTTTATTATTTTTTTTTTTTATTAATAATAATTTTGCTGATCCATAAAGATCTATATCTAAATGATATTAGCTAATTATTTTTGCGCCTAATACCAATTTTTTTATTAAAATTTATTAAATTTATATTTGTTATATTAAACTTTTTAATACAGTAAGTTTAAGAAGATTTTTCAATTATAATTTATTTATTGAAGTTTGTATCAGATTTGTTTATTTAAATTTATACATTAACAAATAACAAATAATTTTAGATTTCACATTCAAACGTTCAAAAGAAAAAAAACTTTATATTATTTTTGTTACAACAAAATAATAATTATTGTTTTAAATGAAAAATTGTTCAATATTATAAATTTATATAATTATAACAACTTTTTTTAAAAATTAAAACTAGTGTTATATAATTTGATTCAAATGATTCTTTAATTTTTGAAAGAAGAAACAAATCCTTAAAAAATTGCCTTACTAACCCAACACATCTATTTATAGTAATCTTTAGCTATATATAAAAATATCTTGTTTAAAATTTCATAATTAGTTAATTTACAAAGAAATGTTAAACAATAGTCTGAGACAATGCTGAAATAATATGAAATTGTTTTAAAGAAAAGTATTTAATGAAATTGGAATTATGTAAATTTCGTGGTCTTGGATTTTATTTTTATTTTTATTTTTAAAATATAGACACGACTGGAGTATAATGTTACATAAGAAAAGTTGTAAACTAATAGTCTACTAAAATCTAAGCTAATGATAAAACCCAACCTCTTAGGAGGAGCCTGAAGAAGCCGTCCTGCCTGATTATTTACAAGAATAACCTAGACATAACCTAAGTCGTGAAAGGAGAACGAAGAGAAAATTTGGAACCAAAAAAATTAAAATTAAAATTACATGAAGAAGAAAAATTATAAAATCTAATTCGAAACTATGAGGTTGTCGGATAGAAGAAATCCATCCACCAGAATGTAGAAAATTACAAGTACACAGGATCAGCCACATCGGTATAGCTGAAGAGATCGTCGGATGAGGAGATGGCGGCGCAAGGGACCATGGATGAGGTGTGCAAGGCGTACGACCATCCAAGGTAAGGTTAGTCATCCGTGATCTTGAAGCGGACGAGTCCTGCGGTCTGGAAGGTGTAAGTGGAACAACTCTAGCGCGAACTGATTGAGACTTCTTTTTGCTTGTCGTGGTCTTGGATAATTTTGGCCAAATTTGTAATTCTGGCCGAAATTAACATCACGTGACACTGAAAAAATAGTTTAGCCACCGGGCAAAAAAATTTTTTATCGGCTGGCATGAAAATTTAATGTTGCACAATTTGTAATTCTGGCCGGCGTTATGAATTCTGGCCAGAATTATTGCCGATCATTTGTAAATCCAATCCGGTTTCCGGTTTCTATCCGGATTATCTGATCCGGATTCAAAATCCGGGTCAATCCGGATATAATCCGGATTTTTTTTTTGTGTAATCCGGATGACGGTTTTCATCCGGGTCGAAGCACTAGTCGAAACTACCTACATATTAATTTTTATGAGTATAAGTATAATACTTGTGGAGAAATTTACGTTTTTTATAATAGTATTAATTTCGAACTTTTGTTTTACTGTTTACTAACTTTATTGATCATATTTAAAAATTGTATTTAATAAAATATTTTTTTTTAATGATAAATTATTTAGTTAATTAATATATTTTATAAATTATATGTGTTATTACTTTTATTTTTTTTTTAATATAATTATTGATTTTTAAAGATAAAGCTAAATTAATTAATAAAAATTTAACTTAGGTTAGAAGATTGATTTACTTATTTTTTTATAATTTTTAAGTTTAGATATTAGCGATCATAATAAAAACCTTTGCTTAGAACTAGAACTATTAATAAAAAATATTTTTGGGACCTTACCTATATAATTATTTTCCGGGATTCTATTCCACCTTTGAAAAATGGTCATGTTACTAAGGAAGATAAAGTCAACGAAGCTATTGAACTTATTCAATTTGTGTTCTTGGGATTTTTGATTTTGTACCAATCAATAACATCAAAGAAAAGACTTAACAGAATTCTTGATGGCAGAAGTTGTGTTAACAACATGATTTAGCAGAATATGTGTTCGCAAAAGTGTCGTCGGCTGCCTTTAAATCTAAAATGTGTAATTTGTGCTGCATAACCACTTATGTAAGAAACCACAAATATCAAGAGTACATAATTAAATGCAAGAAACAAATTGAATAATTTGAAACATTTTCTCACAACATACTCAATAAGTTGCTCTTGAATAATAGATGAAAGGCAAATTCAAGAATACTTCTACAACTTAAAACAAGTGGCGCAACGTTCTCGCATTATCACGTGATTCCAGATGTAACAACGTGACATATTTATTGTTCCGCGCAATTATTTCATTGAGAATTATTCAAAATGGAGATTCACAGATTTATGGCCAAATTCAATATTGAGGGCACATGCTTTTGAAAAAAGGAACAGCGATTTTTAGGGACAGTGATTTTTTTTTTTTTTTTTTTTTTTATTTATTAATAGAACTGATGAAAAATATATTTTTATACTTGGCGGGAAATTAATTATAGTCAAGAACAAGAAATAAACAAGTATTATTTAATGAATTTTAAACCTTAATCTTATAAACGGGCGCGTATAACCCGAACCAGATGAGAAATTAATAGATGATGATAAACGATGGTAGATGATTGATTGATTGTCAACTACTTGCAATAAAGTAAGCCATATAATTATTTTATCTTTTTTATCTGTCGGTTTCCATTGTTTCTGAATTCGTTTTTTCGATATAAGTGATAACCAATACAAAAACGATACAGATGGTACAATCAAATGGTGCAGATGGTACAAATGGTACAAAAAAATGGTGCAGCTGGTACAAAGAACAAACATTCGCACAAAATGTATCAGAATGATCAAATGATCTGTTCTTTAATTTTTTGAGTTTTTGTTCTTAAAGATGGATATTAAAAATAAAAAAAATACTTTTGGATTGAAAAACCGTTATGATATAATATTTAAACTTACATTTTTTGAGTAATTTTTCAGGTAAAAAAAAAAAAATTCACTAATATTTCTTTTAACCTTGAATTCCTTACAAAAACTTATAAAAAGTTAAAAACTTATAAAAAATTTATCTCAATAATAATGCAGCGATTTACCATCAATACAAGATTTTCCCGACGTCCCTCCATTTTTAATAATGATAATACGCCAAAACGATGCGAAACAGATATTGTCCGGTATTTACCCGTGGAAATATTAATTCAAATATTTAACAACGTGTTCCCGGTCGATTTGATGAGAATCGGAGATGATTTTGAAGATTTTATTATATTTTGTGAGATAGAAAGGATCATATTACGATTAACTTGTAGGAAATGGAACAATATAATTATTAATTTAATAAAACATGCAAATTTCGATATTTTCAAAATCAAAGTAAGTTTTATAATAAATAAATAAATTTATTTAATAATGATTCGTATTAAATTTTTTTTCATTTCGTTTATAGAAATGTAAATTGGGGTATGTCGTACCTCCTCCAAATTTAAAAAAACTCGAAATAACCGATAGTCGTTATTTGCATGCAAATAGCTGCGATCCGTACTCCCTTTATAATCCCTATAATTGGAGTTCTAGATTAGGAAGAAGCGATATTAATGAGTGGTTAATTAACAATAAACGATTGAACTGTTTGAAAGTACTCCACTTACGTGGTTGTGTGGACTTTACCGTGTGTGGGTATGTAAAATGTAATAGCATGCATGTATAAAATGACATTAAATTTTACGTGTTAAATTTTATTTTATTTTAGACTTACAAACCTGTATGAACAATTAATCGAACTTTCAATTGTGGACTGTCCGAAAAGTTGTCTCTTATACACATCTAGATGTGTATAAGAGACAGATCTTATAGTAACAACATCCCTTGCTGATGTTGGAAAGACTGCTTTCATTTTGATATACTTTTTAAAGGAATAAATAAATATATAATTTTTTTTATTATAAATTTGTTTTAGTAACCGTAGAATCACTAAAATATATGCTAAAACATATGAAAAATTTGGAGACATTAACCATAAACACCGACAAATTTTTTTCGTCTGAAGTATATAAAACCTGTCTCTTATACACATCTTAGAATCACTAAAATATATGCTAAAACATATGAAAAATTTGGAGACATTAACCATAAACACCGACAAATTTTTTTCGTCTGAAGTATATAAAACAATCAACCTGTTTTTACCGAAATTAAATAATCTGAGGTTGATAATACCTTGTCAATGTTGCATATCAAGTTCAAGACGGGACATCATAATTCAGATAACCGACTTGTCCTGTTTACCAACAATAATAAGTAATCTTACGATAAGTCAGAAAATACCTTCATATGATAATCATATATTTCATATTCTATCGTCGACACCACCGCCTAATTCATTAAGGCGGTTGGATGTTTCAAATTGTTTTTTCCTAAAGGATTTGTTCGACATAACACCAACATTAACCCATTTAACCGTGAGTTATCCATCATTTCCACGTAATGCGATAAAGTTACCCTCAACCCTCGAGTATTTAAATATTTCAGGCTACGTTCGTGACTCCCCTTATACCTCTGAATCAACAAATTTTTGCGATTATAGCAAAAAATGGATAGACATGTTTCCAGAGGATGCTCCTTCCCTTCATACATTAATATTACACCTTTACGCATCCCCAGAAAGACTTTTTTCCGCGATATTAAAATTTTCAAATACTATACGACATTTAGATTGTCGTATATTATTATCACATATGAGCGACATATGTATGTGCGAAAATCCCTGTCATCTCGGTAGACAACTTCACTTCAATATGATCCGTGAATTAAAAAATCTTAAAGAATTAAAATTCCATAGTCGACTAGAAAAAGATGAAATCGAAAATTTTCCGGTTTCTTTGAAAAAACTTTGGATAATTAATGTGTTCAATAATCGATCTTTAATCGATTTCGCTAATAGAAGAGGCATTGAGGTTTTAGAGCTTCATCAAATTTAATAATTTCATATATATACAATTTATTTTTTAATATCATTCTTTTATATTTTTTTTTTTGTTTTTTTTTTTTTTTGAGATGACTTTGTATTACTAACAGATCATTTACTACAGGGAATTCAATGTAGTTGTGTAGGAGCATCATTACTATTTTATTTCTTTTTTTTAGAACCATTGTCTTTTTTTCTCCTAAACTCCTCCTGAACTGAAATTTCTTTAATCTCTTTCCTTCAATAAATAAATTGAAAAGGATTAGAGAAAGAATATAGGAAACTAATAAAAATTCTAACAATATAATAAATCTTTTAATTTTATTTTGTTTTTATTTAAAAAGGGGGTAAGAAAGGGGAAGCACATCATCCACTCGTTGAAAGGATCTCAGCTTGTAAGATGGACCATTCATGAAAAGATCCTTACTACCATTCATGCCTCAATATTTCAACAATGTGGCATAAACATTTCAATCCAATTTTTATCTAAAATAGCTAAGATAACAATGATTTTGAAATATAGGTCATAAGTATCTGTTATAGTAATGTCAAAATAATATGTGAAAAAAATCACTTACGATGTTAACATAGGAGAGGATCATTATATGTTCAATGTCGAAAGCTGCCTTCTAATGCTAACTTGATTACGCGAAATTTAATTAAATAAAAAAAAATTGACATACAACTTGTTAGTCATAAAAATAAAAATATTCTCTTAAACGAATATATACCCCACGAAAGCCAAAATGCCGTAATTTCATCACGCATCATGACATATACTAGTAGTCTGGTACTAATAAGTCACCCATACTTTGAACATATCTTAATACAAAAAAAAATTGATTTAGATATTATTTGTTGTACAAAATTACGAAAAAAAAAAATCAAACTCACCACAAAAAGAAATTAGATTAACCAATATCTTTCTTATAAAAATTATAAGTCATCAAAATAACCTTCATGAATTCAAGATTATTATTTGTAAGGTTTGAAGAAGATGATGATAATGGATCAGGATGACTGGATCCATAAGAGACTGCGTCCTATGTAGTCCTGAGATATATCTTCACTAACAAAAAAAAATAATATGATACAATCAGTACGAATCATTTCATTCTCCGGAAATGTATGGTGAATCAGAGGTTCCAGTAAGTGTAGCTCAAATTATTACAATCACATCTAGACTAACAATTATATAGATGTTCAAAGTATGATAGGCCAGCCTCTGAGATAATATGTAACATATAAAATTGTATTGATATTAACATCTATACTTCATCACTCATAATGGACTCTGCCAAAATAAACATACTTACTAAAAAATATAAATTAAAACCTCTCTAAAAGTCGATGTAATTAAATAATGGCCGTTCACGTTCATATCCTTGTTCATTTGCCCAGAGACGTTCCATAATAATTGGGACAGTTGTTTTACACCACGTCCTACTAACCAAAAGACATGAATCAAGAGAATTTTATCTTGCAATTTTAAAATATAAAAAATATAAGTAAAATATGTTTATAGTTTGTAATAGTTGAAATTGTAATAAGAGATGCTTACCACAAAAATTTGATACTACAAAAATGTTCCTAATGATCCATGATCTAATAACAACAGTTATTGCGGCTGCTACGCGACCGCCTCCATTAGATCTAGTGAATAAGACAAAATTGGTATATACAAAAAGTTGCAATAAATAATTAAAAGATGCGTATTAATATTTAAAGTTTCTCACATTGCAGTGATTGCACCCCTTTCAAGTTTCAGCATACGTACTTTGAACGCCGCCAATAAAATCCGACAACGAATTTGAAAACTATGAGCCATTATATTCAGAATGTATCAATTTATCTTCATTAAACGAAACCTTCAATGCAAGTATAATTGATCCGTACGTGCAAAATATCTAAAATTAAAAGAACTTTGGTTAAAATAAATAGTTCATATATATATATATATTTACCAAAGAATGCTAAAATAAACATTACAGAAATACTTTCAATTACCTTTGTAAAATCTTATCTGGCATACCTTGGATCAAACCAAATTATGCATGGGTACTCCAATAGAAAATGATTTTTAAAATGATTTAAAAAATTATTTACGTGCTCATTTCGTAAACTATGACTTGTAAAAGCGGTACAATTATGGGATGACGACATTTTGAGTGGACAATCATCAAAACAAGCACCGAACCATATAGCACATGTGCGCATGTGCGTCAAGGAAAAATCATGCCATCATCAATTGCAGTTGCGACAAGAAAGCGCCTGAAATAAATGAAGATTTTTTAAATTTTTTTTTTAAAAAATATTACATTTAAAAAAAAAAAAAAAGATCACTAAAAAATAAACTAGATCAACATATAAAATAGTTGAATTAAAGAACAAATTAATTACAATGTCTCCGTCAATAAGAACATGATCGTAAATTACAATAAGATTGTAGGAACTATTTCTAGCTTCTCTTATAATGGTTTCTGATTTTCCAAATTAAAAAATTGTTTTATTAACACATTTAAGTTTAAAAAATATACAACTTTTTTTTACTTACATATTATGTAGGAATTTAAAATCAATAATCTCACTTAATAAACAAATAACTTTAACTACAATTGCCACCTCCAAAAATATAAGCCCTTTCTTTAACTTAGAGACGAACTAATCAATATTAGAGATATGAAGTTATTAAAGATAATATTATTTATACGTATACAGAACTAAATAATAACACACACAGTAAATAATAATATAATAAATAAATTGTCTTTTATAAGACATTGACAATCTAGTATAATGACAACATTCGTTACGAATTTTCAGAGGAGATCTGTACCCCCTGACAAATAAATTTTTTTTTGAGATATAAATAATTAATATTTGAGTTAGTCTTTTCTTATGGTTAAAAAAAAAATACCTCTATTACTTATATATAAGCATATAATGTTCGGACGCATATATTCCCACAATTGAACGTATATATATAAGAACTTTTCATTTCTTTTTATCCATGTGCGAAAATTCTGGTGCTATGATTTAAAAAAATGGGATCGCATGTTAAAGTTACTTAATTGGATTGTATAATTATGCACGTTACCTTCATTAGGTAAAATACGTTAATCGCTTTTTTTAAAACTAATAAAAGTAGTTAATTTAATATTTTATTCTTAGATTCTATGGTTCTAAATAAATGGAGACAAAGGGGAACGAACATTAATTCATAAAATGAACGTAATATGAAATTTTTAGCATAAAGGAATCAAAGAAATCTTCTTTAAGGGGTATTTATTATATTGATTAATGAAAATTGATCTCTTTTATCTCTTTCAGATATAATTTTAACTCTGGAATATTATTTTGATAACTATTTCATATTTAAAAATTTTAGTACGAAGGAATTTTCGTGTTACATCAATTTCTTTGTTTTTCTTTAATCTTTATGATTTATGTTTTCCATGTTGATCAAATGATTACCCTCAAAAAGGCAAACTCTCGATCCTTTTTTAAATTGTGTTTTTTTCATAATCACCAATAAAAAATTAAAGAGAACATTTTTTTTTAAAAAAAATTTACTATCTTAGATCTTTATTGAAATAATAGAAATAACAATAGAACAAATAACAGGAATTTTCATACGGGTTATACAGGTATAAATACTATATAATATAATATAGAAAATACTTAAACTTAAAATATAAATTTATAAACATTTAAAAAATAAAAATATATATATGTGATATATATAATGTGATTGATATAAAATAAAATAATAAAAAAATAGAAAAAAAAAATGAATGAAATATTCCTGTTAACATAGATTTTATTGAAAGAGAAGTATTTTTAAATGGAGTTAAGATCGCGACTAATATACACGGCATGTTGGTGTATCGGTTTTGCAATTCCTGACAAATGTAAACTTTGTTCGGCCCTTTCGAATTGTTCGAACAACGGGGTTACTTCAGGGTTAATACACGTTGCTTCGATCCATGTGTAAATTGTTTGATAGACATCCTGAGCCGTTGGCCTAATGGATGGGTTCTGGCTTAAACATTTTTCCATTAGTTGTAAATAAACTAACGGAGCTCCGATTGGATATTGAGGCCTCAATCCTAGCTTAATATTTTGAATGAGTTGCCTGTCATGTGATCTGTCTTGATATGGTCGTGAACCGGTAGGTATCATCATCATCACCATGCCGAAGCTATAAATATCGGAAGCTTGTGATTTCCTACTTCCAGTGAAAACTTCTGGCGCAATAAATGGGACCACTCCAAAAACTCTTTCTTGAAAAGAATCTCCTGATAAACCTGTATCCGCGATTCTTGCATCTATAGTATTGGGATCTTGTTCAATCAAAATATTTCCACCATGTATGTTTCCGTGAATTAGACCGAATTCGTGGATTTTGAAAAGACCTTCTGAAACACTCAAAAGGATTTCGATTATGTCTCTCCAACAGAGGGCACCATTAAAATTATCAAGAAATGTATACAAATCTTCATGATCATAATATCGCATCACCATCATGATACGGGAAGTCCTTACATCTCTGGTAAAACCGAAGAAATCCGCAAGTGTTCCTTCTTGAAAACATCTATGATACCTGTATAACTTTTAATTAATAACAAAATTCTATGTTAATTAGTTTGTTAATTAAAAAAAGTATTGACAAAAAATTAAATTAAAACATTTTACTTGATTAAAAAATAAATTGTTTGCTTCAACATAATTGTGAAATTGTTTAAGGATTACACGGGTTGGTCCACTGTTGGTCCATGTCTCGTTTTTATCTAAAGAACCTTTTGGACCCTCTATCCATATTGCCGAATAATTCGACGTAAAAGCCCCCGCTTTCCCGGTATTACAGACGTGAGAGAGTTGATTAAAATCGATCCATTCGAGGTAATCCATTCCTCTTCTTGCATTTTTTTGGGTATATTTGATAAAATTATCAATTGCAGAATTCCCGCTGGTCCAATGTTTGAAGTTTTCTTCAAATCGTCTAACGTCACAATTTGTGCACCAAGATTGTGCTTCTCGTCTTTTAAAACAGACAGGGCACGTTCCGTAATCGGGTGGGTAATTTTCCATTTTAAGGGTGTATAATAAGGGGAATTATTATTTTTTAGAAGAAAAAATAATAAAGGTCAAGCACGCCAAAACGTAGGGTTTAAATAGCTATTTTTCCAATTAACAAATTATTTGGAATTATTGGAATTGTTTTATAATTCCGAAAACCGATAATCAATACCTTTTTTAATTTTTTCATTTCATAAAAATTGATGATGGTACAACTATATTAAAGATTTTAAAAATAGAATAATTAAATCGATAAAGCGCCAAAGTTCTAAAAGGATCATATTCTTTGTATGATTACAGATCAAACAAAAAAAAAATTTTTACCTTTTCTTTTTCATTTTCGTTAAAATTATCGATGATTTGATCACAAATTAATTCTTCATTTTTGGTAAATTATCAAAAACATAGATGGGAACACAGCATCTTGCAAATAAATTAATTTCGAAATATTCATTATAATATATTTAGGCATTTAGTGGGAAAATCTTAATAAATTTCTGCGGTTAATGACCATAACCTATCAGCTATAGTGTAATTATTATTTGTTTATTATTAATCATGTTGCGAATGTTTGCATTACAAAAAGTTCTATCAAATCAAAAAACATTAATAATTATAATTATATGTCGATTTGTGTGATTTGTGTTATTTGTGCGACAAATCAACGATCTGCACATAAAGACGAAAAGATGAAGATTTAAAATTTCATGTATATATGTATATATATATATTTATTTAATTATACGTTTTTTAAGAGAAGTATTAATATATTAACATATTCTTTTTTTTTAAGTCACTAAATGTCTTCGTATAATTCGTATTAATAACGAACATGATTTTTGTCGTTTGATTTTAGGTCAACAATTCACAAGATTAGTTCTATTATTATTCGTCCCTTTTGTAGAATTTCATTACTTGAAAAGGTTGAATGTAACATACTTTAACGATCTTTAGCGTTATTTTACGTAATTTATTTCTACGCCAGAACAAATAAATGAAACTTTATTCAATATAACTAGGAAGATCCGCTATCGATAAAAAAAATAATTAATTTCTACGCCAGATGAAACTTTTTTCAGTATAACGAAAAAGGAATTTCATTGAGAATCCGCTATCGATAAAAAATATTTTCAGTGACCATATGAACTTTTTTAATTGATACATTTCAATGTTTTCGGTGACCATTTGGACTTTTTTAATTGATTCATTTCAATGTTTTAAGTTAGGAAGTTTTAAATTCGTGTGAATTTTTTTTTAAAAAAAATGATTTTTTGAAAAAAAAAAAAATCAATATTCCGTTCGGTTCACAAATGATCATGTGTGATAAATCAATAATGTTTTTGGGTAATTCTTTTTGAAAGACAATAACGTTTGCAACGTGTACCACAGAACTAAATTCTCATTCGATGTTCTATATATAAACAAATATGCATAGAAAGAAGTGTACAAAGCTGATTTCATGCAAGTCAAAAAAAAAAGAATCATGTAGTCTACATGAATAACTATATAAAAGTTTAGATTTTAAATTATTTAATATACTTATAATTTATTTATCCACTTAACAATCTTAACATTAATCCATTTAACGGAGGATGGCGGAGATAAAAGATAATTTTAACCATATATAATATATTTAATTGTATGCAGATCTGTGCTACAAATTTTATTCACTTCGTTATGATAGTAAAAGTACTGTAAAGAAAAAATTTCAAAATTTCGTAATTAATTTCTAAGATCAATTGAACCTATATGACGGATGTCGGATTGTTCGAAATGTTTGAAATTATTAAAAAAACACTAATTACATAACTATATCAACAAGTCTTTTGATTTTCTAGCGTTTCCATTATGAAGATGAATTACGAAATTGCTGCTGTCATGATCTCTTTGCGCGTTATAGCATGTATCCTGCAGGTCCACCACTAACACAATGACTAATGCATTTTATCGCATGATTCATCACACGACGCCTTTGTTCTTTTTTCTTTTTTTTTTCTTCCAAATTCTTCTTCCAATAACTCATTTAATAATTTTTTTTTATTGTTACTTTATCATAAATTACATAATTCAATCAACAAATAATAATATATAATTTTTTTTTTTTTTTTTACAAAAATAAATAAAATTAAAATTCAATATTCAATATAAATCTTATATTATTTCAAAGTTATATTTTAAAAATTTTTAATTCAAACAAAATCAAATAAAGTCATTTGTCGAAGATTGTCAGAAAGACACTTTGTCATTGGATAGTTATTATGGGTCCCATAATATTGGGAAGTTTCATCAATTTCCCAACATATTATTTCTTGTTCGTAATTATTATGTTGTATGAACAAAATTGGTTAAAATTTGTTTTCCACGAAATTTTTCACAAGCAAATTTTCTAGTTATACGCCAGTTTGCAGGGTTCTTCCCCGAAAAAATCAATCAATTTGACCAGTTTGGTAATTAATTCCGTGGGCATCTTGATTAGGGTCAATTAGGGTCAGGGGCTTAGCGGGAATTCTTTAATATACTAGTAATAAAAAAAATGTCTATCAAAGATAATCATTGAAGATTTAAAAATAGAAAACCTAGATAAGCATTCCCAATTGAGCGATGAAAAGCAAAATTTATATAATACGAATCATTAATTCATTGGTTCAACCAAGATGATTATATCCATAAAATTTTTGATTGACAAAAATTTTATCCGTTTTAAAAAGTTGATTTGGGGGCTGTGGCATACACACTAGCGTTGAATAAATAAATCCCTTTATAAATTAACTATTCTACATTTCTTTTTCCACACAAATCAAAATTTTATTATTTACACATTCAAATAATTCAAATAATTCAAAAATGAAAAAACGATTTATAATTATTATGATTAAGAAAACTTTTAAGAAAAACTTTATAATTAAGAAAAATTTTCTGATTAAGAAGAATTTTATGATCATAGAAAAATCATTCTATGATATGATTAAGAAGAAGAATTTTATGATTAAGAAAAATTTTATATTTATGAAAAATTTCATGATCCTAAGATTTTTTAAGATTAATAATTAAAGCTTTTAATTATGATACATTTTTTGAATATTTAATTATACGGAATTTAAAAAGGACATTAAAAAACCTTTTTAAATTCCGTATAATATTAGAGAAGGTGCCAGAAAGGTTAATATTTGTTTAAATATTTATTTGATTTTAATGATTTTTTAATATATGTATATAATCTAACATTTTTTTTTTTTTTTTAGTGGATAATCTCCTCTTTCTGGCTCCCTGATAAATTGAAATCATTATGGAATCTTAATTTTCATTTCATGTATTCATTTATTTTATGGATTTCTTTTTTACTTTTTTGATTTTTTTCATTTCGTGTATTCTTTTATTTTATAGATTTCTTTATCATGTATTATTTATTTTTCATGTATTCATTTATTTTATTATTAATTATTTTTCATTTCGTGTATTCATTTATTTTATAAATTTTCCTTTTTTTATTTTTATTTGTACTTTTATTTTTTAATAAAATTTGTGCGACCTTGAAACATATTTAACTTCGTCCGCTATTGGAATTAATTGCGCCAATACGCCTCAAAATCTTTTGCCACGACTTTACGCTCGTATTTAATCTTTATATCTTTATTTGGGCTTAGACATTGGGTACATTTTGTGGAACAGCAAAAATCAATGTACAAATAACGAACGGGAAGAATTTTTATGATTTTTTCTTTATAAAAGATTGAGCAAATTATCACGTGAAATTTTACACGTTATGATTTTAACTGTTTACTTCCACATCATCAAAGTAAAAGATTTTGACTTGAACGTTAATCTCAAGATCAATCGAGCTTTGGTTCGTACTTCAAAAGGTATCGTGTAAACTAGTATCAAAGATTAATTAATATCTCAAACGCAAAAAATTTATCAAAGTAATGAATAAAATAAAATAAATACCTTGAAATAATACTTGTAACAAAATATTAGGTAATTGACTTTAATTCCCTTCCCAATTTCTTTATTATTCTAACTTATAATTAAAAGAGATGGGTTTAATTATATAAATAATACTCGTTAAACTATCATTTGTGGATTTACCTTTTTTTTCTCTATTCATTCTGAGATGGTGAGCGTCTTCCTTTAGAATTATCAAAAATGTAAGAAATTTCGTAATATATCGCTCGTAATTATGAATCTCTTACACTGCAGGCTATAATTGAACGTTATAAATAAATAAAGGAAATATCAACATATATACTATCTTCAGATCTGGATTCTCGTGAAATTTGAAACTAATAAAAAAAATTTGAACAATTAGAATATTAAAAAATTATATAGTTTCATAATGTTTTGCGTAATATTTCATTGATTTTTTTCTTTTATATTAATTATTATTTTTTTATTTAAAAAAGTATACTAACTTCATTCTCGAGTTTCCTTTAATTGTTTATAACGTTCAATTATTGACCTGAACTGTAAGAGAAACTTAAAAAGAAGAGCAAAATGGAACGAGAATGTGAATATTTTAAATAATTCTATTATTATATTCTCGTTAGAAACTTTTGTTATTTAAAAACAAATTGGAGAAGGAAATAATTGTATAATTATATTTTTTAAAGAAAGGAATTATGAAAGGAAGGAAACTTGAATTACAAAAAAAAAAGAGAAATTGTCGTGAACTCGAGTCGAATAAAAAAAAAATTGGATACTTTATTGTATGATCACGTGAGTGGACAGAGAAAACAAATAATATTTTCGTTTCCAAATCCCAATGTTAAAACATTTTTCTCTCAAAGACGTCATTTCTCATGAAATCGAACTATTTTTTATAAATTATCACTCGCTCAATTACTAAAAAAATTCATTAACCATTTTGTTTCATATTTTATTACAGTAATCAACAACATTGGATTTTTACATATAGAGTAATTAAACATTTGTAGAAATGAACCGTAAAAAACAAATTAATATTAAAAAGGCTAAATTAAATCTAATCATTTTAATAATTTCCCTGTATTTCCCTGTGAGGAAAAAAAAAAAAAAGAACTTGTAAAAATTCCTAATTCTATTTCTAAAAAGGAAAATTCGAAGACAATGAACCAAAATATATGGATTATATTTAGTGTTTCGTAATCCAAGTTTTTAAAATAAGGAAAATTTTATTGTTGATATTGGTATCATATGGATCATATGGTAAATTTAGAAAAAATGTAGCCTGATATCCACCGTTTAATTATCTTTAATAGAGAGATTGACGTTCTGTGTGCAAATATTTTCGCCAAGAATGTTGGAATTGACGATGTTGAAATTTGGGTTGATAAAGGATACGACTCCTTTCTGCTCATTATATACATTTTACTAAACTTTGCATAAAGGCCACAAAGTTCTCTCCGTGATTCCATTCATCAAAAATATCATCCAAAGCAAAGAGAGCAATTTTCATTATATGCCGATAATCTGATGCGGTAATTACATTTAAATGTCCTAATTTATTAATTTATTTAAAAAAAAATGTTGTTGTTACTATTGTTGTTATTATTGTTGTTGTTGCTGCTTCCACAATTGCAGCTTCGTCCTTATAAAAGGTGGACGAAAATTTGTAGTGGCTGTGGTGAATGATGAATTAATAGAGATTGACGTTCTTTGATGTGCAAATATTTTCGCCAAGAACGTTAGAGTTGATGATGTTGAAATTTGTTTTGATAAAAGGAATGTTTGTAATTGCTGTTGTTATTACTATTGTTGTTACTATTGCTGTTGTCATTGTTGCTGCTGCTGCTACCACCGGTGTTGTATTTGTTGCTGTGGTGGCAGTTACAATTGCAGCTATTATTGCTTCGTCCTTATAAAAAAGTGGACGAAAATTTGTAGTGACTGTGGTGAATGATGAGTTAATAATAACTGTGATAGTTGTTAAAACTGTAATAAAAGTTTTTTTTTTTTATTTTAATAAATGTGATTTTATTTATATTGTTTTATTATTATATTTATTTATTATTATTCACGGTTATTTACGAAATTATTTAAAATAATAAATTATGGGATCAATGAGTTGATCTGACCAGTAAGAGAGTTCCCAGGTTCGAAATCTAGAATAAACACCTATCACGATTGCGTAATAACATGTTATTTTTGACTTAATCAATCGGCAAATCGGTCAAAAGTTATCCGAATGAATAAGGTTAAAAATAAGCCACGGTAGTGGCTTTATTTGGCCAATCATTTTACCTGCAAATTATCCTATCAAAAGAAATAAAGATAATGTTTAACAAAAGCTTTTTATTATTATTATTATTTTACTGTTCGGATATTATTCGTTCCTTTTTTTAGTTTTTATGTAAACATTGTTAACCTACAGGATGAGTTAAAAAAAAAAAAAATGATTGACAGGATTTAAAAAACTCCGTAAAATTAATTATCTAAATATTAACAAAAAAAGAAAATCATTATCACAAATACAGAAATCTTTTAAATATTAATAAATATTAACAGTTAATAATAAATTAACAATAATATTTGAAAATTACTATTGTATAACTATTATAAAAAAAATTTTTTTACACGTGCTCTTTTTGGAAAAACACTTTTTTTTTTTGTAGTAGTATTAATAGTTTCATTTCTTGCCAATAAAATTCAATCATTACTAAATTTATTATATTCAGTAAAAATGCCTATTAACCGCAGCATTCTATTTAAATTCACATGATTTCGGGAATAAATATTTACTTTTGTCTCACCTATCAAGAAGAAAATGATTCGCAACCGGTTCGCTGGCTTTTATAATAGTTTTTTTTATTTAAATAAAGACCCTCAAGTTTCTTATCCAATTTACGTCTTTTTAAAAATTACCATGGGAAACGTAAAATCAAATCTCAAAAGCAGAGGAATATTAACAAGTTCTTCTAAAAAATATACTAAAAAACGAAATGAACTCCAACAAATTGAACAATCTGAACAGCCTGTGCAACCTGAGGAACCAAAGGAACCAACGTATCATTTATCAAATCATGGTAACGATGATATTGATAGACAACATTTTAATCATTTTTTTAGAAAACATTTATTTCAAAATAATTTTTCTGCTCCTATTGAGGAGAAATTAATTCAAGGAAGATGTAAAGTATTGGATACTGGGTAAGTTAAATGAATATACTTTGATGGCTATACTACGCGCATAAATTTTTTTTAATTTTATATTTCAAGATGTGGTCCAGGTACATGGTTGTTAGATTTAGCGACTAAATATGAGAATTCAAGATTTTTCGGAATTGATATAAAACCAGTATATCCAATTGAAGTAAGTAATACGTTAAAATAACGATACTTATACCACTAAAGAAAGTAATATAATAAATTAATAAATGCTCTATTTGTATACGTATATGCTTAATAGATAAAACCTAAGAATTTAGAGTTTTATGAAGCGGATATCCTCAATAATTTACCATTTCCCGACAATGAATTTGACTTCGTTCATCAAGAAATCATGGCTCTTATAATTAAAAAGGTTGAATGGCCCCGTGTGATCTCTGAACTAATCAGGTATAAAAAAATTGAATTTTTCTTTTTTTTAAATAAAAAATTTTTTTTTTAAAAAAAAGAAATAAATGTTCAAAAATTGGCTAATCGATTAATTGAACCTATTTTACAGAATAACGAGGCCAGGTGGGTTTATCGAAATTGTTGAATATATTTCACCTGATAAGAATGGTCCGGTGATGACTGAAATGTACGACACACGTAAGTTAAAAATTTCATATTAAATATATATATATATATATATAAAAATTAAAAGTTGGTACTAACATATATGCTTATGTATAATTATAGATACGAAAATGTGTTCAGAACGTGATATTGATACAAGTTTAACTCCTCATCTCGACAAAATAATTTTATCTCATCCACTTATAACAAAAGTTAATAAAGATATAAAGACTTTTATCATTGGACCGAACGGTGGCGGAGCTGGTACAACAATTTTAGACATATTATTAACTTTTAATATCTCAGATAGCGCAACCGAAAACATATCTAGATTTCTAGAAATTACTAAAGAAGAATATACGAACAAAATCGCTAAAATTAACGAAGAATTGGTAAATACTAAGCCTGAACTTAGTGTTTGTAGATTTTGGGCTCAAAAAAATCAATCCTTTATCAGAATGGTTTAATTATTTTTTTTTTTCTTAACAAGCCATTATACATTTCCTTATCAGAATGGTTTTATTTTATAAATACTTTCATTTTTATTATCTTTGTTTTTTTTTTTTGAAATATTTTTCATTTTTTATTCTTACTTTTTTATCTCGTTATTTTATGTATTCTATATTCAATTGAGTTAAAGTTTAAATAAATATTATTATTTTATTTGTTATTCTTAAACCATTTTTTTGTTATTTTTTAAAAAAGTGTAACAAATAGATAAACAACGTGGTGGTCAGTATAGATTGTTTACTTTGTGTAAGTTTATGCAGATGAACATATCTAACGTAATTGTTATTAATGCATTGTCAATTTGTCATCATAATAATGAATTCTTTCTTTTCTTCTTTCTTTAATGCTCTCGGTATACAGTCTACAAGTGCAGTTGATCCCACTTTTTCATAACAGATAATGACTTTTAGTTAAAGTTACTTTTTAACCGCCTATATCCTGGGATTGGGTGACGTTCATTAATAGGACTACATTTTCTTTTGCATTTTTTTACTTGTTGATAGAGTTTCATCCTTTGATAAAAAAATATTTTTTTTTTTTCAAAAATATTGAAAAGTTCTAATAGGCCCATATCACGTCAATATGTCGCACTTTAATTTTTGCACCAATCAGAATTATAATATATACATGTATATATATGTATATTTTTTTTATTAACGCTCGAACAAAAGATATATGTTTCTATTTTCTAAGCATTGCACGGCTTTTAAGGAATATTCGGAGTAAAAATTAGAATCACCATCTTCTTCGATTGGTTCGGACTATTGGACTATTGGACCTATGTTCAACTTGAAGATTTAGAAGAAAAAAAGCATTTTAGTTAATTATTTTGTTTACAAAAAATAATCATAATATAATATTGTTGGATTAATAAACAATATTTATTTTATCATCAACAAGTAAGACCATTATTATATCATGTAACTTCAGCTATTCAAGTATTTGTTGCTAAAGTTAGGAAGTTAGGAAATATATCGATCAACATAATTTACTCAATGATATTTTAATTTTGTATTATAAATTTTCAGAAAGAAACACATTTCAATTTAATAATTATAGAAACAATACCTTCATTTAGAAGTTGGTGACAAGAATTCATAAAACAGGATAAACAAGTTGCATTTGTACCTATAATGAGGTAAATCTGAGAGTAATAATGGATTCATATTTATATTTTATCAATTCCTACTGTTCTAATGCGTCGTTACGGATATTAGGTTAGATTTATCTCATCAAGTAATGATGGTGTATATTATAATCATGAAGTTGTAATCGTAATATTATAGCATTTACCGTTTTTTTTTTCTATATAATAAAATTTTATTTTTATTTTTTTTCGCTTTAACAATAAACTTTTTATTTGACTAATATTTTAAAAATCTATTTGTTATTTTAATAAATAATGATATTGTTGATACATATTTTCCCAATAAATAAATAAAATAAAATAAAATCTATAATTTAAGTTTTATAATATATATTAACATTGATAATAAGATAAATAAATCGCCACATTAATTTGATTAAACAGTTCATCCACGTTAATCGGTTCTTCCACATTAATCGGTTCTTCCACGTTAATCGGTTCTTCCACGTTAATCGGTTCTTTCACGTTAATCGGTTCTTCCACGTTAATCGGTTCTTCCACGTTAATCGGTTCTTCCACGTTAGTCGGTTCCTTCACGTTAATCGGTTCTTCCACGTTAATTGGTTCTTTCACGTTAATCGGTTCTTTCACTTTAATTGGTTCTTTCACGTTAATCGGTTCTTTTTCAATAGCATAAGGTTGATACGTCGGATTAACACAGAAGGCGGGCATTGATGTATCATTAGGATGAGTACTTCCCGTTGGTTCTAAGAGTTTTTTTTCGATAGAACTATATAATTTTTCAGATTGAGACATTTTGTATAATAAAGATTTTTAATCAAGTTAATTAATTGATAGAAGGATTTTTAGAAGGATATTTAAAAGGATGTTTTGATATCTAATCTTTTGTTAAAAATCAAATAAAAAATTTTTTTAAAAAAATAAAGATCCAAATCATCGTCAATTTATAGAAAATTTTCGAATTAATGTAAATATAATAAATTCTTTTGTTAAATAAAAAAAAATGTAATTATGATAATTTTTTTCTCTCAAGTTTCACATTTTTTTTACATTATTCATATATTTTCTTAATAAATTTATTTTTAGATTGGCCAAACGAGCAAAAAGATCCGAAAGATTTAGCACGTGTTTTGATGATCGAATTTGATGTTCCGACAATTTGTTTGTATCATTGATAAAATAAGGGAATCACTCCCATTTACGGTATTTGTAACGCATGGATTGATGTTTCATTTATCAAACTCCAGTAGAACAATATTTGTTTTTAAAACTTCTTTGGACTTTTAGAGAAAAGAACGTAATGGTCAGTTGGTAAAAAGATTAGTTAAGATAATCGTCTCGAATTTTCTTTTTACGATGAAACATCATTTGAACAAAGAACATAATGTTAAGAGAATTAATACTCATATATATTAAAAATTTTTTATTTTAATAAAATAAATTTCAATAAATTGAATTATTTGAAGTTAATGCTGCGGTTACGTTAATGCCGCGGTTACGATATGATTAATCCAAGTTTCGCTTTAAGTTTAATAATTGTTTACTGAAGTCGTATGAATTTTTTAGCATAATGTGAAGGACGACAAAAAGGGCATAGTAAACTATGAACGTGCAAGGGACTTATACAGATTTACTTAAATTCTTTTAGATTCTGCGGTAGAATATATTAGTGGATTTTTGACCTTTTTATTAATTTAAAAAGCACTTAATGCCGATCTCTTAGTGATAAAAAATATATATTGTCTTATTGCGATTTGATTGGACCAGATTTTTTTTTTTTAAAGAAAGTCAAACTATGTATGGGTTTCACGACTAAAAATAAATCGCAAAAAACCGAAAAACCGGTTAAAATTCAAATTTGGATTTAATTATGGTAAATGATGTTGAAAAATAGAAAATTCTGAAACAGTATGGATGTGGGAAAACGGATAGATATAATAATGATTTACGGACTCAACTTTACGCAGCATGTGTAACAATATTAGAAACTACTTAATTTATGAAATATAATTGAGAAATTTATTAAAACAAATATATTTTAATTTTAATAAATCGACCATATAAAAGAACAATATTTACAATATTTTTATATAAACTTGAATTTTTATTTTGTATTATAAAAATAAAAACTTTATATACTGTATATTATTTGAATGTGACTGAAACAACAAAAAGAAATTGGCGTTCGGAAATACTAAATCCTAAATTCGTTATGAATAACTAAGTTTCATTTAGCCAATAAAAGATTTAAAAATATATAAACCTGTATTTCTTATACGCCATCTCTGTGAGACGACTGAGACGTATTGTTTCATGATAAAAATATAATCTTTAATCAATCAAAATTTTTACTATCTTCTTTTGTTTACCTAATTAATGAAATTCAATATAATTAATTATGGTAAATTTGGTATTTTATGAGTGTTAATAATAATACAATAACATAATCAAACACAATCAACAATCTAGTACAACATTTGATGTCTTGGCGACTATCTGTGTTCAATCATTTGAATCAATTTGAATGTGGCTTGATTAAAAATTTTACTTCATAAATCCTTAATAAAAATTTATAATATAAACAAATTTAAAAATGCTTACGCTATTTTCGCAAAAACGAAATAATAAAATGATGCCATATATCAAATCAAATTTTACTATTGATGATCTGAATAAACGTCATATGTTCGAATATTCGAATAACGTTCAACAAAATGATCGACAAAATGCTCATTATATGTAAATCACCAAGATCAACTAATATTGAAAAAAATAATAATAAAAAATTTATAAATATCTTCAAATGTATACACTATTTATTTTATCATTTTGATTATTCTTAGAAATGAAATCATAATCAAGTTTCAAATATTTATATTCTGATTATAAATCTATTGTACAACACAAATAAGTAAAAAGTTTCATATTATATTTAAATACAAATTTGATATCAACATCAGAGTTTCGATCCGTAGCGGTTTTATCCGGTTTTTATCCGGATACCGGCTCGGTTAATTTAGGCTGGGACCACCAAAATTAATAAAAATTTATGGAATAATATTATTTTAATTCTGGCCGAAATTATAGTCCACTCAAAGCCGAAATTTGTAACCTTTTTTAATCATAATCCCACGTTAAAATATTTGAGGTTTTATCCGGATCGAAACACTAATCAACATATATAATTATAGATACGAAACTGTGTTTGGAACGTGGGTTGATACAAGTTTAACCCTTCATCTCGACGAAATAATCCACTTATAACAAAAGTTAATAAAGATGAAAGAACCTTTATCATTAGACCAGCGGAACTGGTACAACAATTTTAAACATATTACGCAATCGAAAGTTCGTTAACGAAGAATTGGCAGATACTAGGAACTTAGTATTTGTACTAGGTTTTGAGATCAAAAAAATTAATATAACATTTCATTGTCAGAACGGAATAAAGTTTTGTTTGTTTATGCTTGAACCACTGTTTTTTTTAAAAAAAAATGTAACAAATATAATGAGATCAGAGAAATGAGGAGTGATACATGCATCCGATAAACAACGTGGTATAGATTGTTTACTTTGCGTAAGTTATGATGCAGATGAACATATCTAACATGATTGTTATTAATGCATGATAATAATAATGAATTTCATAACAGATAAGCGTACATCGATGGTAACTTTTAGTTAAAAGTTACTTTTTAGCTACCCATATCATGTTGTTTCTTATTCATACATTAATAGGATTATATTTTCTTTTGCGTTTTTACTTGTTTGTGAAAGTGTTGATACTTTGATAAAAAATTTTTTTTTCCAAAATATTAACGAAAAAATTCTAATAGACCATATCGCATGGTAATTTGTCAACATTATTACAATTTTGCACCAATCAGAATTATAATAGGAATAGATTTCCAATATGTATGCATATATTCAAGTCATCACAAAACTTTCGCAAATGATAGCGTATAAAATGAGGTTTTCAGAAATTTTGCTGAGATTTTTGTATAAACTTTTGCACAAATCTTCTTACCGAAAAACCCAAATTACTTCTACTCCAGCAGCTGATCCATACTTCGTTGTATCTAAAATTTTTAATAAAAACTTTAATCAACACTAAAATTTTAATTGAATCAATTAACGCTCGAACAAAAGATGATCGATGATTATGTATTTCAATTTACTAAGCCAATTACCGTAATTTGATTGCGCGACTTTCAAGGAATAGATCAGAAAAATCGTACTGGTCACCATCTTCGATTGGTTTGGACTATTGGACTATTGACCTATGATCCACTTTTATACTATTGTTATTTAAAATAATGGGACATAACAATTTAGCTTGAAGATTTAGAAGAAAAAAAGCATTTAGCTAATTATTTTGTTTACAAAAATGATTAATCATGAAATAAAAATGTTAAAAATATTGGACTATAGAAACTCAATTGGACTTGTGAGTGGACCATCTCCAATTAGTCCAAGACTCCATGTCCAATTCCACCATTGTATTTGGGACTATGAAAATGTGGGACAAGTGCTTTATTTTTTTTTTTTTTTTTATTTAGTATAAGGATGGGTCATACCGGTCGGTCCCAGGACTTGTAGGACCGGACCGCGGTCTTGCACTTTTTTGTGGCGCAGTAGGACCGGTCCCGAGGACTGACCAATTCTCATACCAGTCTTCATATAATAAATGATTTTTATATAAAAAAATTTTTTTGTTGGCAAAAAAAAAAGAAAGAAGACTGATCGGTCTTAAAAGGACTGCGGTCCGACGGTGATACGGGACCGAAAGACCGTACTCCTACACCAAGTCCGTCTTTTTAAGGTGTAAGACCGTTGGACCACGGTCTTTTAGGACCGATGAACATCCTTAATTTAGTATCTCAATTTAAATATGTATAAACATTAATCATTTAGAATTTAGTTTATTTTATCGTTCAATCATTTAATTGACCATTATTATATCATGTAATTTCAGCTATTCAAGTACCATATTAAGCACCTCCTTTTTTTGCTATTTAAAAATGGTATAATTTCTGATATAGCCTTTCAGCAAAGATTAAATATATATTAATGATTCACATCAACGTAAATGAACCAGTTTATAGAGGTGCTTAATAACGATCAAATACGATATTTGTTGCTAAAGTTAGAAATTATATCGACATCATTTACCAAGTTTCATCACTAATTTTTTTTTAATTTAGTATTATAAATTTTCCAAAAATTCATAAAACAAGTTGCATTTTTACGTAAATCTGAGAGCATTAATGGATTCATATTAATATTATATCAATTCCTACTATTCTAACGTGTCGTTACGGACAGCTTACCCGATATTAGGTTAGATTTATCTCATCAAGTATGATGGTGTATATTATAATAATGAAGTTGTAATCGTAATATTATAGCATTTGGCTAATATTTTAAAAATCTATTTTTTATTTTTAATAAATAATGATATTGTTAATACATATTTTCCCTATTGAAATACAATAAATAAATAAAATAAATAAAATAAAATCTAAATAAAATCTATAATTTAAGCCATCTCTATATATATTAAATATTATAATAAGCTAAATAAAGCGCCAAATAAGGATTAATAAAGTCACGTTCCGTGCCCACTTCATCTTGCTGTATAATGCCTGGACTTTCGTTTAAAACGGGAGTACTTTCTTCCTGTTTTTGTTGTTTTGTTTCATCGGGTAATTCTGAATCCTGTACAGAATTAATTGGTTCTTCCATATTAATTGGTTCTACTACATTAATTGGTTCTTTTTCAATCGCGTAAGGTTGATATATCGGATTAACACAGAAGGCGGGCATTGAAATAGATTGATCCAATGGTTGTGTACCTGAAAAGAACTCTTTATATGATGTTGACATTATATTTGATAAGAGACCATAAACCATCCTTATATCAGCTGGTTCGTTATCCCACATTTTTCCTAATAATTTAGAATTATCTCCAGGTTTGTTTTTTATAAAAGATGCATGATCTTTGCAATAGATAATAAATGCATTGGGAGATCTACGTCCCACTGTTGGTTCTAAGAGTGTGATAAGAGGTAACACAGTTTTCTTCTCGATCAATTCAGTGTCTATTTTTTCTAAATTTTTTTTGATAGTATTATATAATTTTTCCAATTGAGACATTTTGTATAATAAAGATTTCTTAATCAAGATATTTATTTGAAAAAATTAATTGATAGAAGGATGTTTGGAAGGATTTTTTGATATTTAATCTATTTGTTAAAAATCAAAATAAAAAACTTTTTAGAAAAAAAAAAAAGATCCAAATCATCGTCAATTTATAGAAAATTTTCTAATTAATGTAATATAATAAATTCTTTTGTTAAATAAAAAAAAATGTATTTATGATCTATTTTTCTTTTAAGATTTTCATTTTTTTTTTTTTTTACATTATTCATATATTTTCTTAATTAGATTTATTTTTAGATTGACAAACGAACAAAAATCCGACATGATATTAAGATTTAACAAATAATTTGATGATCAAATTTGATTGTCTGTATCATTGATAAAATAAGAAATCACTCTACTATTTACGGTATTTGTAACGCATGGATTAGTGTTTCATTTACCAAACTTTAGTAGAACAATATTTGTTTTTAAAACTTTTTTGACTTTTAGAGAAAAAGAGCATGGTCAGTTGGTTAAGGTAATTGTCCCGAATTTTCAATTTCGCGATGTAACATCATTTGAACAAAGAACATAATTAAAATAATGTCAAGAGAATTAATACTAATATATATTAAAAATTTTTTATTTTAATAAAATAAATTTGAAAATGTGTACAATAAATTGAATTATTTGAAGTTAATGCTGCGGTTACGATATGATTAATCCAAGTTTTGCTCTTTAAAAAGTTTAACAATTGTTTACTAAAGTCGTAGGAATTTTCAGCATAATGTGAAGGACGACGAAAAAGGCATAGTAAACTATGAACGTGCAAGGGAATTACACAAATAACATAAAATTGTTTAAATTCTTTTGGATTCTGCGCCAGAATATATTAGTGGATTTTTGACACGGAAGAATCTTCATTGCAATTTGATTGGACCGGATTTTTGTTTTTAGAAACATTATAAAGTATACTTGGTTTCACGACTAAAAATAAATCGTTAATTTCAAATTTGGATTAATTATGGTAACATAAATTGAAAATGGAAAATTCTGAAACAATGGAATATAATTCGGACTCAGCTTTACGTCAGCACTCAGCATGTGTTATAATAGTACTAGAAACTCGCTACGACTTTATTTTAAAATATAGTTGGGGAATTTATTGAATCAATACATTTTAATTTTTATAAAGTAAACTATGAACTTATGAGGGATTTACAGAGATTTACATAATAATTGTTAAGTTCTTTTGGATTCTGCGCCATATTATTTGATTGGACCAAATTTATTAGGAACATTTATAAATTATACGTGGTTTCACGACTAACGCAAAAAACAGGTTAAAATTCAAATTTGGAAATTTGTATTTAATTATGGTAACATAATATGAAATGATATTAAAAAATAGAAAATTCCGAAACAGTGTGAATGTGGGAAAATTGATAGATATAATGATTTACGGACTCAACTTTACGTAGCGTGTGTAACAATATTAGAAACTCGTTACGACTTAATTTATGAAATATAATTGAGAAATTTATTAAAAATCAATCTATTTTAATTTTAATAAATCGACTGTGTAAAAGAACAATATTTACAATATTTTTATATTAACTTGAATTTTTATTTTGTATTATACAAATAAAAACTTTTTATACTGTATATTATTTTGAATGTGACTTATGTGACTTGAAACAACAAAAGAAATTGGCGTTCGAAAATACGGAAATACTAAATCTAAATCTGTTACGAATAATTAAGCTTCATTTAGCCAATAAAGGATTTAAAAATATATAAACCCGCCATTACCATCTCTTAGACGACTGTGACGTATTGTTTCATAAAAATATAATCTTTAATCAATCAAATTTGTTTTTTGTTTTGCTTTCCTAAAAATAGTCTTTACTTTCCGAATGTTAAAACTTAAATATAGAAACAATAGAATTGTTTTACAGATTTCAGGTTCTCACTTGGTTATGCACATAAATTATTCGTTTCACATTTAACGCAAAAAATTAAAAAAATTAGTAAAATCTTATTAAAATGCAACAAAAACTCCAAGAACTTCATAAATTATAAATAAAAATTTACAATATAAACATAAACAAAGAATCTCAATTATATTGTTGATTCTGTTTTGAAAATGCTTAGGCTATTTTCGCAAAAACGAAATAACAAAGAAAAATCAAATGATGATGATATCAAATTATCGATGATCTCATATCAGATGTTCGAAGAATTTATTTGATCGTGACAAAATGATTGACAAAATTGACAAAGCACATACATCTTTAATTGTATCGTTGAAATTTGTACATTTAAAAAGAAGTAATAATTGCGGATAATGTTTCTTCCGAAATCTGAAAGAAAAATATATTTTAACAAAACACGCTGCTTTTAGTGCTTTACCAATAATAATAGGCTCTGCACATGTGATATTCTAATATTCTGAACAGCAAAGAAAAAAATGTTAGTCGGATTCATTTTTCCGGGTTACATATAACATTATGTTGTGACGAATAATGCGTGTCATTTAGCACTTTTACATATAAAAAAAAAATTTCTACCCTAATCCCTTACCCTAATCCCAATCCTAACTCTAAAGAACCGGCACATAAGTTCCTGAGTTCTGGCATGTGACTCCTGCGACTTAAATGGCCAATTAAAAAACAATAACGTAAATCACAAGATTAAACTTCATAATTGATTGATCAGCATTTTTTATCATGTTTCTATTGGTTGGTGTAACCTAACCAGCAAAACTGCAAAACTGTTTAACTTTATCATTTAATTATTCATTTTAATTATTATTATTAGAAATAAAACCAAAAACAAGTTACTTTTATCCTGATTAATCTAACCATTTTTCTACACCTTTGTGTATATAACTAAAAAAAACAATCCAATTAATAAAATTATGCACCTTTTTTACTTTTTAATATTTAATAAAATTTATAATAAAAGCAGTGATATATATTAGCAGTTAGCTAATACTAATTTTATAAGAAATTTGCCTTATTTTTATATAATTTTAAAGTTAGATATCAACAATACTTAATGATTATAATAAAAACCTTTTCTTTTTTGGAATCTTACTTATATAAATATTTTCTGAAGGTTCTAATTTATTTTTCTTTTTCTTTAATTTTAATACTTTAGAAAAATAATAAATGTAGATTAAGAAAATTGTGTAACTTTAATTAAATTACTTCATTTTATAATTAACCATCAATTTTAATATTTAATATATTATATTATACTAAATAAAGTAATTTAATAAATTATTACATATTCTATATATCAGTTTTTTTAATTTAGTTTATTATTTTTACTATTAAAAATTTTCCTTCACATATATATGAAGTTTATTTTAAAAAAAATAAATTTTTTTTAAAGAATTTTTCTAACTATTACTAAAGTAATGATCACTAGTAACTAAAATTATAATGATTGACCAGCATTAAAAAAATATAGTGCCAGTAAAAATTGATAATTCTAGTCAATAGTAATAATCGCCTCTAGTGATTTGAAGTAAAAAACTTTTTTAAAATTTTTTTAAGAAAATATGAGGTCTTTGCAATAGAAAGGTACAAAACTCAAAAAATATCAATATTAAATTTGCATTTATTTCAGTAAAAAAAACATAATTAGCATATAAAAGTAAAATTAAAATTTTTTTGAACTTCATACCTTTCTATTGCAAAAATCCCATGTAATTTTAATAATAAAAATATATGTAATTTTATAAAAAAAAAAGGTTTTTTTAAACTTCTGATATTAGTTATTTAGTCAGATTTTATATAAGCTATAAAAAATTAAAAATTTATATTTTTAATAATATATGCAAAATTTTTTAAAATGTAGTTTTAGTATTTTTTAATATAAGTATATCATATTTATATATTAAGTAAAAATTATTTAATAAAATTAAAATTACTTATATCTTAATTTTATTATATCATTTAATATTTGATGGCTTATATAAATATTAATTTTAAATTTCATCACGATGTTGGACCAACTGAAACCTTATGTTTACTGAATAGCAATATTTAATAAGCATTAAAATTTTATATTTATTAAGCAATAAATGCTTAATATATTAAATAAGTGCTAAATTTTAATATTTATTAACCATTTAATTTATTAAGCATTTTATTAGTATTTTAAAACTTTAAGTAAATACTCAAATGCATTTTACCAACATACCTTATATTTTATATATAAGTACTAATAATAAATATTAATAAACTACTTTAACCAATATCGTGATGTTATTATTTTTTCTACTTAATAACTTTAGAATGTAATTTAAATATTTTAATTATAAAAAACTACTTTTATATATTAAATGAAAATTGATTAGCAAGGTTAAAATTACTTATATTTTGATTTTTATCTAATATATATAAAGCAATTGGTATTATTTAGTATAATATAATTAAATTCAGATTTTAAATTTTTTGCACTTAATCAATTATTTTAAAATATAATTTAGACATTTTATTTATAAAAAATTACTTTTATATATTAAATAAAAATTGTTTAATAAGTTAAATCTATAATCTATATGTAATTTAAATTTTATAAAATTTTAATCAGTATATATAAAGAAACTAATGCTTATTATTTATATTTATTTAGTAATTTTAAAAAGTATATTTGATATATTAGTAAATTTTGTAATTTTTTATTTAATATATATGTAATTATTAGTATTTTAAATAATGATATAAATTTTAATACTTTAATTTTTTTTATTTTTAATATAAAAAATATTAATTTAAATGAAAATCCTTCTTAATAACTCAATTTTAGTAATGAATTTTTTTTTTAATAAAATTGTAAAGATAATTAATAAATTTATTTTTACTTATAAATTAAGATATTATATTATTTTTAATTAAAGAAACTTATTATTTTCTGTTTTTCTTTAAATTAGAAATATTAATAAATATTACTAATATTTTACTTACTTTTTTATTATAGAAATAGAATACTTTAGAACTAAAGAAAATATAAAAATACTTGAAAAGTAAGAGAAGAAAATTTTTTAAAATTGGAATGTTGGTAAATATTACTAATATTTTATTTTTGTAGAATTTAAAAATACTCTTTTATTATTATTTTAACAGTATAAAGTATAATTATAAGTTAAGTATATTTTATAAATTTTGATAAAATTTTATTTTATTTTTTATTATTTTTTTGCTCCTTTAAATAAAATTAACTATTAGGGCAATGACATATATTAGCTAATATTTTAGGGGGTGGGGGAGTAAAAGAAAATCTTAGGTTACATATAATATAAACCATGTGAAATGGTTGTGATTGGTCATAAAATCTTACCTGGGGGAACAGGGCGGACATCCTTATATCACCTTGCTGATCATTTGCCGATCTTATAGTAAATTGGGTGATATCAGACTTTAAAGCTTCGGCCGAAGTCACAGAAATTTGACCGAAACTTGAAACTTTTATGGGTCATAGTTTAACTGATTTAAAATTAATGGCCGAAGTAATCATTCCTAATTTTAGGTAATCAAGAAGTTATGGCTAAATTTATACTTGCAATTATATTTGTTATAATCTATATAATAAATAGAAATTTTCAAAATGCAATTTCTCAATCAATTTAGTGTAAAAATTTTATGAAATTACTATCAAAATGTTTGTCTTGACGAGATGAATTTAAAAAACTAACAAAAATTAAATTTTAATCACTGGTTGTCACAATATCATTAAAATAATTTAATTTTCTAATTATTATTAAAATTCAGCCCATTTTTGGGTTTTAGTTAATTTTTGGATTTGAAAACATTAATTTTTGGACTTTGGATGAATTTTGATAACAAATAAAATTTATATGTATTTTTTATGTGATAATATTAAAATAGATGATCGGCAAAATGATCGGCAATAATGTGATAATATGAGGATGTCCGCCCTGTTACCTGGGGGTGGGGGAGTAAACGTTACTATTAAAATAATATTAGCTAATATATGTCACTGCCCTTATTATTTTTTTTCTTTTTTTTTAATTTTAATTCTTATAGTTTTTTTAATTTTATTTCTAATTTTAAATTTTATTTTTAACTTTATTCTTAACCTTTAGAATTTTTATTTTTTATATTCTTTATTTTTAATTTAGTAGAAATTTTTATTCTTATTTTTTAAGTTTATTATTATAACTTTTATTCTTAATTTTTGGTTAAGATTAATACTTCAATTATTTCCAAATAGTTGTATAATTACATCTATATAAAAAGTATTATTTTTGATTTTTGATTTTATGATAATTTATATTATTTGTTTTTATAGTATATTTTTAGTTTTAATTTTTAGTTTATTAGTAGTAGTTTTATATTTAATTTTTTGATAGATTTATTTCTACTATAACTTGTGTTTAATTTTTAAAAATAATTTTTATTCTCTTAATTTTTGTAATTTTTGTTTAAATTTTAATATTTTTAAATTTTAGCAGATTAATCTTTAATTTGGGTTTAATAGTAATTTTATTCTTAATTTTTTTTTATTGTATAGTAATACAAATTATTGGTTTTGAAAATAAATAAATATATTACAAATTAAATATATATCATAAATTTTTATTTAATAAAATTTAGTAGTAAAATTTTAATATTTATTCTATAAAATTTATATATTTATCATATTCAAAAAGTATTATACAAGGAGTTGAATATAAATTACTTTTATAAATATATTAACTTATGATAGAATTCTAATTAATTATATTGAAAATATTTAAAATTTCTTATAGTTTTAATCAAAAATAATATACTTTATTAAATTGTAAATAGGAAATTAACTACATTTTTTATCTATTGATCTCTTAACCATTTTTTGATGGAAATTGTTAAAGGAAATTAAAAGCTTAAGTTTTTCTTATTTAAGTGATAGTAAGGTATTTTTAATTAAGAAGATTTTTCAAGAATTTAATTTTTGTTGATCATTTATTAAATTTAAAGAAAAATATTTTTTTTCTTTTTTTGGCATAAAAAACCTTTTAATTTATTATTGACTTTTTTTAAATTTGATTAATTTTGTAAAATTCATATTTGAGTTTATGAGATTTTAAAAATTTTACCTGAATTTTTAAAATATTAATATAATCAATAGCACAATTATTGGCAATAAAAAAATTAAATAAAATAAATAAAAAGTATTTGCTTTGGATTGGATAATAATACATACAAATTTAGAAATTTGCATATTCAATGAATAGAATTTCAAATTTTTCGGCCTGAATTAAAATTATTGCCTAAATCAAAAAATATCGGTTGAAATTATAATAGATAATTTCAAAGTCACGTGATTTTAGGAATACTGTATTTGTAAATTAAAATGATGCATAAATGGTGGATAATATTCTTACATTAACAAAGAGATATAATTTATAATCTACAATGAAAGAAATATAAAAGGAATATGTGATGGAAACTAATAATTATTTAGAACTCATTTAATTTGTCATTAAATCTTAAACCTTTCAACGTACTATCTTCTACACTTTGAAATTTCACATTATTTTGCATCGTGAAATGACATGACTTAAACCTTTCAACATATTAGTATCATCTATTACACTTTGAGAAATTTTAGATTATTATATCTCGCATCATGAAATTATATACTATCTTTACGTTAAAATCATAAATTTCGAATAATGCTTTTACTTAAAATTATTTAATACTGTAAAATTATCAGTACTTTTTTTTTTTGAGCGTCCGTACTATTGGTCAACTGTACGACCAGTAATACTTTTTTTAAGCTTTTTTTAATAAATGCTCGTGATGAGAATTTTCATGCACATAAATTTTTTTACTGATAAATTAATTTTTTTACTTTTTTATACTATTTTTTTCGAAGTACTGTACATAATAAGCCACTGATCAAGAGTCTATCTTAACTTTTTCATCTTCATTTCCCTCTTTATCAAATGCAGTAACAAAGAAAGATGGACGCGTAATAAAGTATTATTTCAAAAGAGTTATTGCAGGTATCTATCTTATCAGCGTTGACGTAATAATTAATAAATAAATTGTTCAAACTAAAATCTTTATCTGTATATCATTATCTTGAGAAAAAAAACTTATTATAAATTCCATTTACAGAAACCAATAATAACGTATAAGGTATATCTTCGAATTGTTGTTAAGGGAAGCTTGAAACAATAATATTATTTACCTATCTAATCACAAATCTTCCACGCATTATTATTAGTTATTATTTCGCCATTGTTTTATATGTCTAATTCAGGATCTGAAATTCATTTTATAAAAAATATAATTGTATTGCTTATTTGAAATTAGTAAGAGAAATTAAAGTATAAATATTTATTATATTATTTTTTTTGTGTTAAATAAAATACAATCGTTGCTTTTTTTTTCTTTGTATTTTTAATAGATTATCTAATAACTTTCCTCTTGTTGATGATAAGTTGCATAATTAAATGAATATTTTAATAATGAAAATTGGGTAATTAAAAATATTAAATAATCATAGCTTTTACGCACGATGATATCAGATAGATAACATTTCAAACGAAACTGTAATTATTTTGAACTATTACGTTTGTTTACTACGATTACCATTTACACAAGATTATATATTTATCCTTTCGTATTTCAAAGAGTATAAGTATAAGTTTAATTTAGCTTTCTCCCCCATCCAAGTTTTCAAAAATCTTTTTGCTAATTATTTTTCCTTATCACGAAAAACTATTATCATAAATAAAAATGGATGAGGCCGCGAGAAAAAAGTATTGTCGTCTCTTAATGTTTGATGTTCCTCCTCCTTCAAATAATACCAAAAATTCTTTAAATACGGCAGAAATGCCTTTTATGATTGATTGTACAACCTCTCTAGAGAATAGTTTCAGAACTCAAGATAATTTTGTCTTTACATCATTTGAACCGATGAGGGTGAAACCTCAATCACCTATAAAAAATAAAAAATCTATTTCTTATAAAAAAACTATTGAAAAGGATACAATTATTGATGAAAGTTATCAACAGTCAATCAAGAAAATCCCAAGACCTCCAAATGCTTTCATTTTATATCGACGAGCTAAACAAAAGTTGATCACTAAGGAACGTTCTAATGCAAAAATTTCACAGTTATTGGCAAAAATGTGGAGAGATGAAACAGAGGAAGAAAAATTACGTTGGCGAAAAATTGCGGATAGAAAAAAAGTGGAACATATGCAAGCACATCCTGGATATGTTTATCGTCCCAAAAGACCTATTTCTAATGATAAGAGAAAACGTAGTAAAACAACTCCGTCAAAACAGCCGATTTCAACTTTAGAAAATACTTGTGTATCCGAATTAGAAACTTCAAATGTTAATCTTTCTACGATTGAATCATTGGTAGTTTTCGATAATTCATCATCGTATAATCATTCTTTTCCTTCTATTTCCCCACAAGAATCCAAACCTAAAGAAATGAATTTCAATCTTGAAGGAGGATTTAACTTTCTTGAACAACCTAAAGAAACGAATTTCAATCCTGAAGGAGGATTTAACTTTCTTGAACAACCTGAAGAAATGAATTTCAATTCTGAAGGATTTAACTTTCTTGACCAACCTGAAGAAATGAATTTCAATTCTGAAGGATTTAACTTTCTTGAACAACCCGAAGAAATGAATTTCAATCCTGAAGGAGGATTCTTTCTTGAACAACCTAAAGAAATGAATTTCAATTCTGAAGGCGGATTTAACTTTCTTGAACAATATTCGCAATATTCTCCTTATTTTTTTATAGATTCTCTATATAATGCCCAAGAGAATATTTCTCAAGAACAAATGAACGAGTTCATCCCACTCAATCGCGATCCTTTGTTCAATATTTTTTCGTAGTCTATTATATTTGTGGCTTTAATAATAATTATTGTTTTATAAAGATATAATTGTTTCGCTTTTTAAATTAAGAATAATCTTTTTTTTTTTTTATTCGGAACGAACTTTCATTTTTTTTAAAAATTATGTATATTTATAATTTTTTATATGACAAACCTTGATTTTTAAATTAAGAATAATCTTTTTTTTTTTTATTCGGAACGAACTTTCACTTTTTAAATTATGTATATTTATTATTTTTTATATGACAAACCTTGCTTTTTAAATTAAGAATAATCTCTTTTTTTTTTATTCGGAACGAATTTCATTTTTTTAAAATTTGTATATTTCTTATTTTTTATATAATAAACCTTATCATTATTTTATCATGCAAGAAAGTAATACTGTAAATAATTTGATACCAGTTTTTTATATGAATTATATCATTTTTATATGTAACAACTAACAAGGCGTCTGCGTCTGAAAATTAAAATACTTAGTAACAAAAATTACGTGCGTTTATTTGCTGTACGTCCGATAAACCATACAAACATTGCATTTACATATTCAAAAAATACTAAAAATACTGTAAGTCAAAAGGATATCATTTAAAGAAACATATGATTAATAAATTTGATAAATCTTGTTCACCACATATATCAACTGTTAAATTTTTCAGTAATCCTGTATCAAGTTGATAAGCTCATCCGTGAATTTTCAATTTCTTACCCTTAGCCCATGCGGTTTGAACAATATCTGTAGCAGAAATATTTTGAACTTGTTGTTTAACATTCAATTCTACAAGTAAATCTGCTTTTTCCTTGTCGGAACCACAGGATTCCACCGAATTTTTCGGTAAACGGTTTTAATGCTTCTTATCCAATCATCAACCAAACCGTGTTGACTGCTTCCCATCGAACATAATACACCACCGCATCCATAAAGTAAATAATTTTGATTTAAATTACTATAATAATAGTATTTAAAAACTTTATTAATTAGTGATTATATCAGTTTTTTTATTTTTTATGTACTAATTTGTACTAATTAAAACTTTATTTACAAATATATTGTAAACTTTTATTTTTAAGCCTTTATTTTTTTTATTTTAATTTATAATTCACCTAAAATCAAAGTAAATTATTATATAAAAATTGGGAGAATAATTAAAAACATTATCTTATAATTCAGTAATTGGATTTTAATGAACCTTTAAGCCAATTTGTAGTTTTAATATTCTTTTTAAAATAAAAAAAAATATTTAAAATTGGATTAATATTGTAAGATGAGTATTGCTAAAGTTCACAAGTAGTGATGGTTACCATACCAGCATTATGATATACTTTTGGCCAGAATTAAAAATCTAATAAAATACTGGCCGGCATTACATCAATAAATTAACTACTGGTGACCATCACTACTGGTGATATTTAGTAATACCCTTGTAAGATAATTGTTAAAAATTATTTTTTTAAGAATTGGATAGCTTTCAAATTTCAAATCTGGTTTTCTTTTGTAAAGTAGTTTTTTATAATTATTTTATAATATACCAATCCAATTTTAAATATTTTTTTTATTTTAAAAAAGGTATATATTGAAAATTATAAAATAAAGATTTATTAAAATTTGAAATTCAATTACTAAATTATAAAATATTAAAAAAAGGTATTGAGAATTTTTTTTTTTTAACCAAGGTAGTGCAATTTGTGAGTTTATTAATTATATGTAAGAATATAAAAACATCTGTATATAACTAATTTATTAAAACTCCAAACCAGTTTCCCATCCATAAGATTACTTCTGTGCCCTACCATTACCTTATGAAATTCACCTATATCCTTCAATAGTAGCTATTGAATTATATAGGATCACTATTTCATAAGGCTTAAAAAGGTATTGAGAATTATTATAAAATAGTTTAAGAATTCATTGAAATCCAATTATTAAATTATAAAATAATACTTTTAATTGTTTTCTTTAATTTTACATAGTAATTTTGATTTATAATTTACTTTGATTTTTAGATGAATTATAAATTAATATTTTTATAATAATATATTTTTTTTTTCTGGATAATTTTATATTTATTAATAAAAATTATTAGTTATTTTTATTTATAATATATAGAAATATGTCGTATCTTCCTTTTTTAGTAATTTTTATATATTAATTATGTCAATCATTTTGTTCATGTGATTTCATTAAGATTTTCCATTTTTTAAAAAGGCACTTACTATATACTATAAGAAACCTTATACTATATGTATTTTTTTAATATATCAAAAAGGATTTAAAATGTTATTTTTAACTTTATATGTAACATATTATAGAGTCACAACATAACAGATAATATAAATGCAATAAAAAAATAAAACCTTTAAATATAATATATAAATAAATTAAAGATCTATAAAAATTTGCATAATCAATTTTATTAAGTTGAATAATAATATAATAATAATATAATATATAATAAAATTTTTATAATATATTAATATTATTAAAATTATAATATTTATATATTTTTTATATAAATAAATTTTTACAATTTTAATATTCATTATCTAAAATATATAAAATTAAATAAAAATTTGATATATATATATAATCATGTATTTTTTCTAAAAAAATTTCCTAATTCTTAGGAATTTACACAATTCTAAATTAAATTTTTTTACCCCTGAGAATCACCTTTTTTGAATTAAACTGTGGTTTGTACGTAAAATTCAATAAAGAAAATCATGTCAAATAATTTTTTTATTTTATTATACTTTAAATTGTCAATAATACACTAATTCAATCATATTACCGTAAAATCGTGAAAATAAGCACCCCTTTTTTGCAATCACGTGATTAATAAAATTGATAGGGGTGCTTATTTTTGCGAACCCCCTATGATAATCTTTTTTTTTACGCGTCTAAAAAATACACTTTATTTTTTAAAGAAATGACCCAAAAAAAAGTAGGTGTAAGAGAAAGAACTTCATATTCAATTGAAGAAAAATTGATAGTAGCTAGATATGCTTTAGAAAATGGAAGAAATGCTGCTGCAAGAAATTTTAATTTAAACGCTCCAATGGTTGGAAGATGGATTAAACAAAGTGATGAATGGGAGAAAGAAAATAAAAAAAAGAAACATGTTGGATCGGGAAGAAAGGCTTTTTATCCAAAAGCAGAAGACAAATTGTATAACTGGATCATTGAACAAAGAAAAAAAGGTCTAGCAGTTAATTATACATCAGTAAAATTACAAATGTATAAAATTATTAAAGAACCTGCAATGCAAGTATTATATCCAGCAGGAGAAGATAAATTTCAGGGAACTCTTTCTTGGATTCAATCTTTTATGAAAAGATTTGACCTATCACTAAGAAGAAGAACTAAAATTTCCCAAAAATTACCTGAAGATATAGATGCAAAATTGGAAGAATTTAGACGCTATATTATACGACTAAGAACACTATATAATTTTGATCTAAATAGCATATATAATATGGACGAAACTCCAGTATGGTTTAACATGGCGGGTAACATGACTATTAATAATAAAGGGGATAAAACAGTGCATATTCGTACTACTGGAAATGATAAAAATCGGTTTACAGTAGTTTTAACTTGTTCAGCTGGTAATAAACTTCAGATTTTTTTTAATTGTATTTATTTATATAAATTTAATAATTGTTTTTTATTTTATTATTTAGATGGTTCCAAATATCCACCAATTTGTATTTTCAAAGGAAAACAACTCCCTCGCGGTGAGATTATCCCAAAGGGTGTTATTTGTTGGTTTCAGGAAAATGGATGGATGACATCAGATTTAATGAAGAATTATGTTGAATTTTTATTTAGATTTCGTATGACTGAAAATTTATCAAAAGAACCTGCCATGATGGTGTATGACTCTTTCCGGGGTCATTTGGAGGAAAGTGTAAAAACTAAATTTAAACAGCATAATTTTCACTTAGCTGTTATTCCTGCAGGATTAACTAGTGTATGCCAACCACTAGATGTTTCTATAAACAAACCTTTTAAAGATAATTTACGAAAGGAATGGCATGAATGGATGTGTAAAGGTGGTGCTGGTGAAACTGCAGCTGGTAATTTAAAAAGAGCAAGAGTTAGTGATGTGTGTGGATGGGTTAAACGATCTTGGGATGCTATTTCAGAGCAAATCATTTTTAATTCATTTAAAAAATGTGCTATTTCAAATTTGTTAGATGGGTCAGAAGATGATATGGTTTATGAAGAAATAGACAAATTAATTGCAGAAATTGAAGATGAAAATTTAGATGAAATAGATGATAGTACTGAAATTGTTAACAATTAAAAATAAAGAATTTTTATCAATATATTTTCTCAATAAATTGTAATAGGTCGTGTATTTACAACCCTGCCACAAGTTACAAGTTACAAAACTATTAAAATTGTATTTCTCACAAAAAATTAAACAAAAAAGTAACATTAAT